ACCAGAATTTTGGCGAGAGTCTTTGCATATTTACCTTCTTTCATTTCCCAGATTCTAGACTTTATCTATTGACCGGTTTTGATTTTTATTTTGATCTTTTCTGAATTGCGTGACACTGAAAACCAGCAATTCCTTTCCGTTCTACAATGCAACCGGAAGTTGAAAAGGCCATGACGAGACGACCGGAAGTCAAATGATGACTCGTGAGGCGTGACTGTGGCCTGAAGGTACGTGGTTTTCAATTTTCCTTTCAATTTCCATGCGTTGCCGCACGAAAGAACCACATTTGGCGTCTTAGTAACACTTGAGAAAGCAAAACTCCAAGAAATTTGAAAGACCGGTGAAACAAAGAGAAGATAAGGACGAAAGCTTCTTTTTAACAAAAGAATATTATCAAGACTACCGAACTCCACCAAAAAGGTTATTAATTATGCCCTTTCCATAAAAACGGACGTCAAATTAGGACGAATAATCGATAATTTGTCGCTGTCCGTAAAATCAGACAAACTGCAAATGGGTAATGATTTATCTGCCAGTGAGTGCTTGTTCAACGAGCGCATAGAATTTACTTTACCGCTGGCATAAAAAAGTCATTCATTTACATGTATCTCGTATGTTTGAGGAAACAGACTTGTTCCTGTATAACTATTGTTTACGTCTGGTGATTTTATCCAAAAAAACAAAATATTATAGTCATTATAATATTGTGTCGAGCAAGCTGATCTTCATTTAGCAACGAGACACGCAATAATTTAATAAATGTGTTATTCTTGGGTCTGCTGTGTCTACAACACAAAGCTGAACGCGATCTCGTTTCTTTGTACGATAAATTAGTATAAATATATTTCGCTGAAGAGACAGATCAGTTCGTGTTCTTACAAAAAATATATATTAACTATTGTAGACTGCGTGCACTGGATGAATACACAAGTTCTTTCACGTCTGCTGAACGCGTCTTCTCGGAACGCGTGACAACTCGTTTGGCTGGACGGTATGGCACGATCAGTCTGATAACTACGAGAACTTTCACTCTCTTTTGCTGAATTCAGATTGCTTTCTACGAAGGGTTTTCTTACAGGTGAAGTATAATGTCATTTTAGTCGCGAATGATCAGAAATGATCGGAATTGCAACTCTGCTTCGAAAGCAAAATTAATGTCATGACCTTCGACAAATTTGAATGGCCTTCAAAAAACGACGTCGGGCTGTCAGCTGAGCTGTAATTAGTCAAGAAAAAAATTCACCTACCTGTTTGAAAATGTTGACGAAGTTGAAGACGTAGGTTTGGGATTATTGCCGTTGGTCTGAGCAGATTTTTCTGTCGACATCGTTTCATCAACACCGCCAATTGTTTCGATTTCGTTGTTGGCGTTCGTACGGTTTGGAGAGGACGTGTCACAGAGCCGAACCGTCGTGTTCTTGTCTGTAGGTAAGACCTTGTTGCTGGTTTCCGCGCTGCTCATTAATTTTTGCTTTGGAACAGCTTCAGCATTTCCCATGCTCAAGATCAGTAGAGGTTCCAATAAACATGGATTCAACAGGCGGACGGCTCAAGAAGCACGCGAATGACGAATGAAAGCATCACTTGACCACTGCTGAGAATTATGCATGAATAACAAACCAAGGAACAATATCGTTGTTTTGTGATGTCTACTTACAGCTATCTAACTGCACCTTTATCCTAATGCAGTAACAAGTTCAATTCATTTTGGAATATTTTTGAGACTTTTGTAAGTCGACTTTGACTTTAAGAAAAAAATTTCCTCTTACCTGACGTCAGCCCTGTTTCTATCAAGTGCGTGTTTCGTGCTCGTTATATAGTCTCGTCCGCCCGCGCATTCATCAACAGTGACGCAAGAAAAATTTAAATGACAAAAGTCCCAATTGCGTGACTGAGAAGGGTCAATGACATAAAAGATTGCATTACTTATGAAAACATAATCTTCCTGCCAGGCTGAAAATTCTTGTTTTTCTGCAGATTTAAGGCTGAAATTTTCTTGTGAATATTGTCAGATTATAGCGTGACATTTCTTTTTTCGAATGTATCTGGTGGCTGGACGGTGTTAAAGTAATTTTGGAGCCAGCCTGTAGGTATCAAAGCCTGATATAAAGTACATAATCTCTTGCAAGAATGTTATAAGCATGGAACATACGGCTAATGCTGTTTTTGTTGGTTTTTGGCTAGTTTTGTCGTGTAGAGAGATGAAGAATTTTGTGCGGTTTAGTTAAAAACATATAATTGTATTGCATTTACAAATTTTCAAAAAAAATTCAAATTTTACAAAATTATATTCTTTTCAAAATCTCAGCCTCGGGTTTATTCTCGAAATATTCTTAAAATTTCGCAAATTTCAGCCTCGATATTCTTATAAAACATATTCTTATAAAAAAGAAAGAGTGTAGCAAAATACTAATCCGATTTTTGCGCCCCCTTCACGGCCGCTCTCGCGCTCTGCGCTAGCATCCCTCGCGCGCTCGAAGAAAAATAACTCGTAAAACAATGTAGACAGACTAAT